CGCCCGGCAGGTGGCCCCCGCGCCACACCAGTGGCCTCCCAGTCTGCCCAGTACGGCCCTGCCTGGCCCCGCTGTCCCCTGGGTGACAAGTGCCACCCCCAGGAGGGGCCTGGGGGTTGTTTGGAGGGGGCTCAGGGCTTCGGGTGACGTGGGGACAGGGGTTCGGACACCCAGAGGGGTCATCCTGCCCCAGGGACATCCAGAGGGGTCACCCTGTCCCTGGGGTACCTGTCTCCAAGGGGATTTGGGTGCCACTTCCATTGGGCCCTGGGTACCATCCATGAGGGATTTTGGGTGCCATCCCTGTGGGGCTCTGGGTGCCGTTCCCATCAGGCTCCCAGTGCCATCCCCGTGGTGTTTTGGGTGCCATCCCCAAGGGATTTTGGGTGTCCTGTCCATGAAGTTCCGAGTGCCATCCCTAAGGGATTTTGGGTCCCATTCCTATGGGATTTTGGGTGCCATCCCCAAGGGATTTTGGGTGCTCTGTCCACGGAGTTCTGGGTGCCATCCCCAAGGGATTTTGGGTGCCATCCCTCTGGAGTTCTGATCACCTTCCCTGTGGAGATCTGGGTGTCATCCCCAGGGATTTGGGGTGCCATCCTCGCTGGGCCCTGGCTGCCATCCCTGTGGTGCTTTGGATGCCATCCCCAAATGGATTTGGGAGCCATTTCTCCCCAGCCCTGGTTACCATCCCTGGGGGATTTTGGGTGCCATTCCCACCTGGCTCCAGTCAGTGCCATCCCCAGGGATTTCTGGGGGCCACCCCCACGGCCCTGGTCGGTGCCACCCCCATGGATGGGGACAATCCATCCCCCTCTGTGACAGAGGGGACAACCCAGCCCTGGTGGGGTCCCGGGGACGAGCAGGACATTCCCCCCCCTCCCGGCTTTGTCCCTGTGCCCAGCGCCGGGATCTCCCACCGCGGGAACCGCTCCCCATCCTCACGGGATCCCAAAAAACCCTCGGGGCCGCTCCAGGGGGGTTCGATCCCGAGGGATCGAGGGGTGGGGTGGGCGAGCACCCCCCGAGCGGGCACCGAGACGAGGCGGGGGCGGCTGGCGGTGACCCCGCTCTCCCCGGGGGACACCTGAGCCTCCCCCCCGGGCCCCGCCGGCTCCGGTTACGGCCCGAATTGTTCCTCCCGGCTGGAAGAAATGCCGTCAGCGCCGGCGGATCGGTGGCCATTACTAATGCATGAGATTCCAGCGGCAGGGACGCGGCCGGCACCGACCCCCCCGGAGCGGGAATGGGCCCGTGCCCCCCGGGGAGGGGGGGACAGACGCGGCCTCGGGAAGGGTCTCGCTCCCGGTTGGCATCATCCGAGTCCCAAATCCAGGCTCGGGATAGCGCTGGATGCGCCTTTCCCAGGGAAGGAGCCGCGGCCCGGCGACACGTGCTCTGCCGCCGAAGTGCCCATTCCAAGCGGGCTCCCAGCGGCCCTGGAGCATCCCGGGAGAGCAGGAGCGCTCCCGCAGGGAACGCTCACAGTCCCTGCTTGATGGCATTTTCCCCGTTTCCCCCCCCGGCTGGTGATTCCCAGCCTTTTCCACCCGGGGCTTCTCCCTCCCCGCTTCGCTCCTTCCCGGTTTTTAGCTCTTTTCCCCGACCCCCCCCCCCAGTTTTCCTCATCCCCAATTTTTCCCACCTCGATGCCCAACCCAACAACCTCCCGCCTCGCCCACCCCCCTCAGACCGAATTCCCCTCCCCAAAAACCCAGGGTGGTCCCAAACCCCCCCCGGGGTGGGAATCTCATCCCGGCACATCCCACCTTGGGCTGACACCCCCCGGGATGAACCGCAGCGACCCCTTTCCTGTCCCTGAGCTCCAAATCCCCTTTTTAAACCGGGATCTCATGGAAAAGGGGGCGCGGGGACTTTGCCAGCGCCATAAACGTGCCGGGGGGGGGGTGGTTTTCCTGGCTAATGCACCTCATCCCTGCACGTCGATATTCCATTATCCCGCGGCTCCATCTGAGCCCGGCAGGAGCCGCCGAAGGAAAGGCGGCCCCGGCAGAGCCCCCACCCCACCCCGGGCGCTTTTCCCGACTTTCCCCCCCCCCTCCCGCCTTTCCAGAGGCTCCTCTCCAGGTCCTTCCACATCCAGTATTCGGCCGAGGAACCCAAGAAGCCGCCGTAAATTTTTAAACAGGGGCCATTTGCTGCGCTCGCCTTACGGGGCCCGGCCCTCCCACGAAATTCCGCAGGGCCGGAATATCGACGGGGACGGGGACGAGGGGCTGGCACCGTGGAGGCCGTCGAGGGGCCTCCCAGCTGCGGGATCATCCCAGGAAGATGATCCCCAGGCTGGGATGAGAGACCCCCGGGGTGTCAGGGGACGTCCCTTGGCATGGGCACCATCCCTGGAGTCTTGGGGACCATCCA